CTCCTCTTCCCGAGGCCCAGAAGCTCCTCCGATCCAGGCCGTGCTCAAAATTGCCTTGAGGCCTCCTTCAAAAGGCCCCCGAAACCATCCAGCTCAGCTTTGAAGCAACTCCCAAGGGCCTTCAGGTTTCCCACAGGGTCTCTGAAGCTTCTCTGAAAGTCTCTGGGGGCTTTCCAGGGAGGCTCTCCAAGGGCCCCGGGGGCTCTCCCAGAGGTTGTGGGGCCTCTTCCAGCGGTTCGAAGCCGCCCGGTTGTGGTGACACCTAGAAGCAAGGCGTGGATAGGGCGATTGCGAAGGCGATGTGCCATCCGGGCTGGCGATGTTGAAGTGCCTCGGAAAAGATGCTGTCAAGACCTCGGGCGGGAGATATGGGTGAGGGAATGTCGGACCCACTTGTGCAAGAAAATCCGTCGTAGGGGGATGATATCTTGATGGATGCATGCTGCATATGGAATCATAGAGCATCTGGGTATAATGGTTGTCGTTGCGCTTGTAAGCCAGGGGCCACGAGAGCACTTCGAGCCAAGACAATGTTGGTTTACATCAGGGTGCGAGCCCTGGGCTGGGGCATTTAAATTGAAACAACACGATGGGCATCTGCGAGGCGGGATCAGCAATAGTCGCTTTCCAGAAATGGGATGTCAACAAAAATGCCCCGCTGGCGCGCCAAAGGTCTGGGCTCTGACTCGCTGGCCCCGACCGGGGCTGCCGGAGGGCGGAGGCGGGAGAGGGTGCCTCACGTGCTTTCGCCGCGGTGCGCCGAGGACTGGAAAGCGCTGTGGGAGTCGCACAGGGCACAGGAGGACTACGAGGACGCCCGGAGCCACCGCCAGAGCTTAGTGGGCCCTGGAAACGACAGGGCCGTTTTTTTACCGGTTTCGTTTTGCCGTTTCTTGCCGGTTCCGACGCCGTTTTTTTTTGTTTTCCGGTTCCGTCGCCGTTTTGTGACTGGTTCCGGCTCCGGTTCCAATCCTGGAGCAATTTTTGTTGCCGTTTCTGGTCGCCGTTTTTTTGCCGTTTCTATTTTCAAGGGACACTTTCTCGGAAACGGTGAAAAAACGGCCCTGCCATTTCCGGGGCCCACTAAGCGCCAGAGGCCTTTGCGGTAGGCTCGCGTCGTGTGTCGACGCGGCAGAGGCCCCACAGCGGGCGTTCAAGGTCGAACGCCGCTGGTGGCCAAGAATCGGCCAACGCTGAACGGCCTGGCGATCGAAAAGCCGCCGGTCGTTCCAGGCTGGCCGATCCGCGCGGTGTCAGAAACCAACGCGCAGGTCGTCACGACGCGAGCTTGCCGCATCCCCTGCCCTGGGGTACTGGTGTACTTCGGCCTCCAAGGACCGCTTTCGAGCCCCAGAGCCGTGACAGATGTTTTTGGGGCAGACAACTGACCCCGAAGAAGTGGTCGAGACCTCTGGGGCCACGGATTTAACAGTCACATCGTATGATGTCTGGGCCCAGCACTGGAGTCGTGTTCCAGGGTCCCGAGGACATCTCAAGGGCTTGCTGGGTATGTGGATGCCTGCACGCGGGAAAGTATCCGCATCCGCTTTCCCCATGCGTCCAGGGCAGGACTTTAGCTGTGGATGTCGATTCTTTCTGGCGGTGCGCGTGAGGCTGCCCTCAGGTTCCGGCGTTCCGACAACAACGACGACGGAGAGGGTTTGGGTTGTTCATTTGGCTTCGTCGGGTTTCAGAAGGCCTCAAGAGGTCTCAGGAGTCCTCTGCTTTGGAAGTTCACAGGTTCAGCGAACTCCTTGGAGGGAGACCCCCAGAGATCTCCAGAGACCTCCAGGGACGCAACCCGAAGAGACTTCACACCCTTTCGCCCGGGTCTCGGGCCCCGGGGCCCTCTCGTAGGAATTCGGCCTTAGAGTTACGACTCGAGGATCTCGTGGAGAGCTCATGTCGTGAGTTTTTGGCGGCGTCGTGATTTTGGTCCGGATGTGGAATCTCGGGATAAGCTCAAGTCGGGCATGTCCCTGTACCGGAGGAAGATTCAAAACTAGCAAAAAGTAGAATGGGGACGATGTTTCTGTTATTTTGTTTCTTTTGGGGGCTATTTTTCATTTTTCTTACAAAATCCGCCTGCATTGGGACATGCCCGACCTAAGGGCAAGCGTCCGCCACTGGCAATTTAGGCCTCCACGGGCCCCTTACCGGCCAAGGTCCTTCCGGTGATGTGGGCGTCCAGCCAGGCTGGACGGCAGAGTGACCGCCAGCACACCCGCTCAGCTCGAGGAGGGGCGGGAAAGGACACACACACACACTCGATATATTTAGGCAGCCCAAAGGGGGTCCAGCTGGAAATGAGTGGTTGTTGTTGGATTTTGGATTTAACTCGTTACAGTGACGCCTTCTATGGGATTGTCCCACATACGTAGTTCACGCATGGTGCTGTTGGATGTTGGATCTGGCTCGTGAAAATGACGCATTCGAATCATGTGGTTGTCACACACAGTGCAGTGCAACCCGCCAGCTGCAATCCATTGCTACAAATGGGGGGCTGCAGTAGATCTGGGTTGTGCAATATGTTCCAGGACTTGCCAGATTGTTGTGTGCAATACGACTGGCGCAATACGATGCAATCCACTTTCCTGGCGCAATGCATTTGTAATACAATTGACCGTTTGCAGTGCATTTGCAATGCACCGCCCGCGCGCGTTGCACGCTGCAACGCGCGTGCAATGTCGGACGAAGAACTGTGTCAAGCGCGCCGAATCTTGATGGGACTACTGGTGCAGACGAGCCGGCGAGGTCTTCGAACGAAATTCGAGGCGCCTTTCTGCCGTTTGCGTCACTATGTCCTGAGGCCATTTGGAGGCATACATTGCAACGAACGACGGAAGGGCACAATCACTTGTCGCACGGGCCCGTTAGGCATCTCAGTGCCAGCAAACTGTTTGCCCCCCCCTTTTCCCTGGGAAGTCCCGCCACCGTGCCAACCCAGCATTCCGGGTGACGACAGTTCGCGGGGGCATGGGAGGCTGTCACGTGTGATACCTCGCGTCGCCAGGCTTGGGAGAGCCGTGATGAGAATGATTAGGATACTACGGATAATGTTGATGATGATGTTGATGCTGCTGTTGATGCTGATGCTGATGCTGCTGCCGATGATGATGGTGGTGATGATGCTGCTGATGATGATGCTGCTGCTGATGCTGATGGTGATGACAGTGATGATGATGGTGACAATGAGGATGCGGATGATGGTGACAATGATGATGCTGATGCTGATGGTGACGATGCTGATGATGCTGATGCTGATGCTGACGATGCTGATGATGCTGATGAGTATGATGCTGATGGTGATGGCAATGGTGATGAAACTGCTGAGGATGAAGCTGACGATCATAACGATGCGGCTGATGTTGATGGTGCTGTTTATGCTTATGCTGATGGTGATGAGGAGGAGGAGGATGAGGATGAGGATGACTATGCTGATAATGCTGATGAGGATGAGGATGAGGATGAGGATGATGATGATGACGACGATAATGATTATGATGATGATGCTGATGCTGATGCTGATGATGATGTTGATGCTGATAATGCTAGTGGTGGTGGTGGTGGTGGTCATGATGGTGTGGATGAGAATGAGGATGACGATGAGGATGATACCTTCCTGGCAATGTGGAGCAGCGCCCCCCACAGTGCCCCTCTTCTGCCTGGCCAGACGAGGTTTTGCTTTCGCTTTCTCGCTCAGTTCTGCAGTGCAATGGGCGGCGATGGTCTCTCCAAGGATGTGCTCTTTGGGCCCAAGGAGCCGCCCTCGAGCGCACGCGTCATCCAACCCGTCTCTGCATGGGCTGTGCCGAAAGCTGGTGAAAGCAATGCGGCAGAGGGGTTTAATATCGTCTCTCATACTGGCAGAAGGCGTCCAACGCGGCTGGACACGCTGCAGATCGCAGCTTCGCCAGCGAGATTGTGAAGAAGGTTCAGCACCAGATCCATGAGGCCAGGCCGCGGCACGTCCAGCAGCACTCGATCGCTGCCGGGCTCGAGAGGGCCAGGGACGCCGTCTCAAGGCCCACCTCGCACGCTGACGCGACCAAGCAGGAGGCCGAGAAGGCCAAACAGGAGCTGGACAAGACACTACATGATGCTGGGGACGCTCTGCAGGAGGCGGAGCGCCAGGTGGACGCCCTGCAGCAGGCGGCGAGAGAGACCTTCGCACGTGGGCCTGCAGCTGACGGCGTCGATGAGGAAGGACCCGGTTCCCAGGCTGGACGAGGCGATCCTCACCAGCGCCAGTGGGGAGTTCGAATCCTGGTCCCAGCAACAGAAGACGGCGCAAGACGGCCACTTCGAGACGCTCCGTGCGACGCTCGAGGCCCAGGCCGTGGCTGCCGCCAAAGTTGCCCGTCCTTGTCCTGCTGTTCCTGAGGACGATGACGCGGGCTCCCATGGCGACGAAGACTTGGACAAGCTCGGCAAGGCCACTTGCCCAGGTCAGCGCACTTCGCGAGGAAGCAGCAGGTGAATGAGCTGTCCCTCTGCAAGCTGAAGCGCTCCGTGCTTCTAGGCGGAATCTCGTCGAGCAGCTCGCGTTCCTGGCGAAGAATCGGAAGCAGGGGTAGTGACGGGTTCAATTCATGGCTCTTCGGCAACGCGGACCACTTGTTGGATTGCGTGGTCCCCCTGGTTCCTACGTGCTCTCCTTCGCTCACCGTTTCTCAAGTCGCGGCCATCGGTGCTGGTGATGACGTGCAAGGTGGAGCGGTGACAACACCTACGCGACCGATGGGGCATCTTGCTTTCTAGGCGAGCAACGCCGTTGACGTAGACTGGCCAGCGTTAGGCTTCTCGGCGCCAGCGGTCAGACTTGAGTTTGCCTTTCAGGATCCCAAGGTCGGCCCATTGGCATCGCCCTGGGCGACTGCAACTTCTCCGTCGAGTACAACGCGCGCCGCGTTTTTCACGCGGTTGCGCAGGCGACCAGCGTCGCCCAAGTCAAAGGGGATCGGGGGCGCCCCTGAAGTTGCCCCCGCAGCGGGCGCCAGCTGCAGCACTGGCGCGGCCCCCTCACCCCCGCGCCGCGCGGGACCAGGTAACCGAACTGCTAGAGGTCAGGATGGAGAGGTACGCGTTCGGCGTGCACTCTCGCACCTTCGCGCAGCTGATGCCCAGGGGCTTCGCGAAGGAATCCGGCCCGATGCCGGCGACGATGTCGCTCGACCTGCTCATTGCCGGGCTGGTGGGTTCACTGAGCGCGCCGCGGTACAGCCTCGGCCCTGCTGCATCCGCCCCGTCTTCGCGGCGCCGACTGCTGGAGCTTTTGGGGGGCTGTGACGGAATGGCGGATGGGCGAGGGCCTCGATGGGCACGCGCCGCTGTTTTTCGCGGGGCAGGATATGCGGCTGGTCGACGATGCTATTTGCTAACATGTCGGTGCGCTCAAGGCCAACGGCATCGCTGCCGATTTCGCTGCCGCGGTTTCTGCTGGGGGGCCGCGCGCCGGCCAGCTCTGCAGGGGCACTCGCTGGAGGTCTCCGCGACATTAACCGGCGCGCGATCACCCCCTAAGCCTTCGCTCAGGTTCCAGAGGGGCCGGGCAGGATCCGCGCCGGGCGCGCGCGCGCGGCTGTGCCCGGGGGGGCCCCGTGGATCTCCGTATGCGCCCATCGTTCGGCAGGGGTAGAAGGTCCTTGCGCTGGGCCCGTGGCTTCCCTGAGGCGTTGCCTGGTGGGCCAGCTCCGCGCGTGGGGCTCTCTGATTTCTTTCTGATTGAGGCCCATATGCGCACCTCTCTGGGCATGGCGTCGCCGCTCTGGACGGAGGTCCGAGGTGGCTTGCCGAGGCTGGGCGAAGCGTTGTTCATGTTTCAATTTCTAGTGGCGGCTCCGTCGATGGCCGACATGACCGATGTCGCCCTTGCCGCCGGTGGTCGTGGGGTCGGGCGCGCGTTGCCCGCTGCTCGCTCGACTCGCGGCGATCTTGCGGCCGAGGCACCCCGAGCTCGATGGGCCAGGGGATAAGCGCGCGCTCGGCAGGCCGCCGCTGAGGGGGACAAGCTAGCTCGCGTCTGCCCTGGGGGCGAGAATATCGCTATGGGTCCGCTGGCCGATGGCGGTTGGGAGCTGCAGGGGGGCCCTGGGGACGCCGCGCCCTTGGGAGACCAGGGCCGCTTACGGCAGAACCGCAGGAAGGGCGCCGTGGAGGCCCGAGTTCAGGCCGCGCGCGACCCCCCCCCAGCGGCCCGCAGCGCAGCCGCTCATGCGGGCCTTGGAAGTTTCAACATGCATGCGACTTGGGCGTTGATTGCTGGAACACTCGAGGGATACCTCGAGAGGGGAATGCCTCGAGAGGCAGGCGGATGCCCCGGGGGATGCCTCGAGAGGCAGGTGGGTGTCACGTTGGCTTGGGGGTCCGACCCGCGTCAGATCCCCGTGGGATATCCGACCGCCATGGCGTTCACAGGTATGCCCTAAGGTGCTGGATTGCGCCCGTTGGCTCTCATCCGGTCGATTTTCCGTGTCAGGGGTCACGCGCGTCTGGGAAATGAGCCGCCTCGCTCTGTGTTTCCGGTGTTCCAAAGACAAGGAGTGCGATCGGGCTGGGCGGCGTCGCGCCATGCTCAACGAGTATGCGAGACAGGGAGGATTTGAAGTTCCCACCCTTTTCTGACCTCGGCAAGTTTCACGAACTGGTGGCCCTTTGCATTCTTTTTGACGAGGCTGCGAGATGTGGCTTCTTCCATGGCCTCGCTCGCTGCGCGATTCGCTCGCGCGAAGGCCCGAGAGCTTTCTCCTTTGCAGGCGCGCGCTCGGCCGCGTCGAAGGCCGCGGGCGCCGCGCCGGCGGGATGTAGTGTCACCGCGTTGTTCGCCCAGGTGGTGCTCTATGGGCTGCTGCGCGGGCTGTCTAGCGCCTTCCCCCCTCCACGTCCGCAATGTGGTGGATGACTTTTCGCCCCAGATGCCGGGCGCGTCGCGCTGCGTCGTCGATGGCCCAGGGCAGGCATGTGTCGATTTGGAAAAGGGGTTAGATGAGGTCTAGTAGAAGGCGTCGGGTCAGAAGATCAATTGAATTTCAACATGAAGGGTGGTCCTCGACGGCCCTAGTGACAAGCAGAAGCCTGCGCAAGTCTCCAGCAAGATCAGTCAGATCCCAGGGGCGCGATATTGTTGCCCGCAGGGCTAGGGGGAGCCCCGCTGCGCTCGAGAGGCCCCAGAAGGCTGTTCGAAGTGGTAGGGGGCTCTGGAGACTCAGGATGGCTGGAGCTCACATTTTTGGCACGCGCAGGTCTGGGCCTCAACCTGGAGCTCCCTGGGGCACCGCAGGAGTCGGTCTCGCTGGACAGCCGGCGCGCCGGGCCAGTCCATGCCGGATGCTCTCACCTCTTTCAGGTTGCGACAGCGTCCAGAAGGAGCCAAGATGGACCCCCCTGTTTTTCTTCCGCGCCAGCGTGGCCCACCAGCGGGTCAGAGCTGCGTGGGGTGTCTCGCCTGCTCTGGACGTGGCCCAGAGCGTTTTCGGGGCCGCGGTTGATGAGATGACCTGAACAAGCTCCCCACGGGCAGCGGCGACTCCCGAGCGCATCTCCTGTTGTTGACGCTGGCCGAGATTGGCCGGGCTTCGTTGCCGCTGCGTAGATTCCACATGGCAGACGGCGACGCGATCGATCTCCTGGCCGCTGCCCCGCTCGCCGTCCGTGACTTTTCCGTGGGGGGCGCAGGTCTGCGGGCTGATGCGAAGTCGTCGCGACCCCCCCCCCTTGAGCGCGCCTGCTGTCGGCCAGTTCTGTGGCATGGGGCCAGCAAAATTATGGGCGGTTCGCCTGGGGGCACCCGGCAGCATCGCCGCCATAGTTGCGTTCGCAGTGCTTTCTTCTTGGGATCCTGGAGTTCAAAACGGATGCTTGACCACCGCGTCAGCGAGGTTGATTTCTGTCAGTTTTGCAGGTCTAGCCTTGCCTCTGATGCGGGCAGGAGGTATTTTCCGAGACAGGTCGGGTAGGTTGCCGACACCGTGAAGCGCTGGTGACATGACACGGAGCATATCATTGTTAGAGTGTTGCCCGATCTGAGAGAGCGGACGCCCCCCCCCCCCCATCCTGAAAGTTAGCCGACGTTACTTACGTTGGCTGAATACGCTTGCTAGCGGTGAGCTTTTTTTTTTTTGTCTCTCCTTTTTCTTACTAAAAAATCTGTGACGGAGCGGCCCTCTACCGCATCTTCGGTGTCGTCGAGCTGGATGGTCTGCTTGTCAAGCTCATGACCGATGGATTTGTCATTGCTGCGCGCGTGGCTGCACCAGCAGAGCATGGGCTTCAGCAGGAGGCTCGCGACGGCGAGAGATTATTTACTTGATGCTTACCGCCATAGCTTAAGGTGGCTTCCAGGTTTGGACGGGGTGCGCTGGGGCCCCGGGGTGCGTCTCGGGCCGCGGGCTTTCCGCCCTGTCTCCCCGCCCTCGGGCCCGCCTTCGGGCGAGGGCGCGGCGCGCTTCTGAGGGCGGGGTCGTAGTTCATCAAACATTCGGCCACGCGGCTTACAACGACATAGCCGAAGGGCGCTCGAGCCATTCGAACGAGAGGGCAACAATCCTGCGGACATGTTCGCGACGCTTCGTGCCGCCCTCCACCCGCCCGTCGATGATGCCGGCAGTCACTTTGATGGACCCGTGGCGCTTCAGGAGGCCATTTGTCGGCGGGGGGGCATCGTGTGTTCATCGCCCAAAGACGTTAGTTGGATACCATGGGATTCCCCAAAGAAAACCCGATGGCCCCGAGAGTATCAAGGCCCCCCCCCCCCCCCCCCCCCGCACCAAGGAGCACCCCCCCAGAGTTGCCCGTCGTTTGTGCGAGAAGTACACGCGTGATTTAACCCGTTGCGGCGTGCGCAAGGGCATGCTTGATTTCCGCGGCCCTTTGTCTTTGGACTCCGCGCTGGCGCCATATTCGTCCCAGGCACTTGTTGCGGCTCACGAAGATGCTGATCTTGCTGTAGGGTCCCAACCTAGTGATGATGAAAGTTGAGAACGGGGATTGGACTTGGGCGGGCGGGGGTGGGTGGGTCATGTCTTGCCTTCGGTGTGGCGGGCACGCCTGGGGTGGGTTCGACAGCCTCTGTCGTGCCTGCCCGAGCGCGCCGCCCGCCCGTGATTTCAAGCAGCAGCGACGCAGGCTACGCGGAGGCATTTTCCCCAGCTGGTCCGGACAGCATCCGGGACTCAGGTGCCCGTGCCAGCCGATCTCCTGAGCTTGCTCTCTGCTGCCAAGAGTGGTTTCTTGATCCAAGAAGTTCAGGTCACTGTTCCAGCTTGTGCTGACCCGACGCGGGGTGAGCGGCGGAGTGTTCCCCAGCTGCTCACCAGGTTCGGATTGAGCCAGGTGGGGGTGGAACGGGGGGGGGCTGAGGATGAGCACGGGGGCCGTTGCATGGGGCAGGAGCAGTCGTGGAGCTCACTTGGGTCGTCTTGAGAGATTATCTTGGGCCCCTTTTGGGCAGTCTTACGCGGGGGTCACCTGTGAGAGAGCGTCGGGAGAGGAAGGCCTTTTATAATCTTTCAGAAACTTTTCAGGCAGCGCTTGGCATGCGACCGCGCCTCGACGTGCCAGGGGGTGCGGTGGCGGATTCGCAGTTGCAGGCGCGGTGGGGGATTTGCATGAACTGATGCAAATGGCGCGATGATCAGGTATGCCCGTGGTAGATGCTGCAGCGGTTGGTTGCACCTGCTGTAGCTTGTGCTGATGGCGCGGGTCATATGGCTAATGCGTTGACTGTAGCACGCACGGTTGTTTATATTCCACGTCGACGACGCGGCGGATATTGCAGAGTGGGATGTAGATGTTGCGGCGGGTTTAGTTAGGCAGGCGCGCATTTAAGCACCGACCCTTTCGGGCCATCTTTTTGTTGAGCGCATGGGCCAAAACGGTGTCCGCGTAGTTGCCGACAGAGGGCGCGAATGCCATGGGCCCCGTGTTGGGCGCGTTTGTGTAGGCGCGGGCACGGCCGCAGCTGCCCAGGCACCCATGGCGGAGAACCACCGCCGATAATTGTGGCGCCCTCTCTAGGCGAGCGCTGTTTTCTGCCGACGCCATGAATCCGCGGTCGCGACTGGGCGCGCGAGAAATTTTGGGCGGGGCCCTCGACGGCCGGGGAACGCGCGCGGGCGCGCTTGCCAGCACCCCCGCCCATCCGCTACATGAGGAGAGAAGGAGTACCGGCTCTGGCCCGATTTGAAAATATGCCGCTGCGGGGGATTGAGCCAAAATGG